TTTCAGTACATCCAGAACAGAACTGAAACCATTTGTGCTTAAAATACATGAAATGTGTCTCAGCTGCAAAACAGTTATTTAAAAGCTGCTAATGCACTGATTTAATGAAATGGAGAGTGACAAACCTGAGTGCCAGTCTTTTTGCCCATGACCCATTTCCCTAGCTATTCAGTGGGGCAGACTCACTCATTTCCCTCCCTCGACAGGTGGTGGGAATCACAGCTCATGGTGCCCCATGCTCTGCCTTGAACACGGACTGGACATTGCCTTGTCTCACCTTTCCTCCTAATGTTTTCCACTGAGCAGCAAAGCTGGAGGTGAAGTTTCCCCCTCAGCTTTTGTCCTCATTGCATTATTTAAATATTTAGTACAAGCATATCTTTATGTCCCCCTAACTGAGGCTGAGTATTTTCTGCCAGGAGCTCCGGTTGCTGGCGATGGAGGTGAGCCAGGGAGAAGGCTGGGGAGTGGGAAAAGTCCTTGTGGAGCTTGGGAAGGTGCCAGGGAGCACAGACTGCCAAAAAGAAGAAAAATCAGCAAAGGAAGAGGGAGAGCATAAGGGAAACGGGAAACAGGTGAACAGCGGGACTTAGGTTGAGATGAGGTAGAGAATGTACTTGGCTGGGGATGATTTTATATGATGCTTTCAGAAGGATGAGAAATTAACCCAGATGGAGACAGAGAAAAGCCAATGGGGACAGACAGTTTGCTCAGTTCATTTGGAAATAAAAAGGGAAGTGAGGATCTATCTAGAGGGACAGAAGTGGGTAGTAACAATGAATAATAATTGCAGAGTGAGCCACTGAGGTGTGTTCACTTTAACTTTAGCACCAGATGACAGCAATCACTTGTGATCTGTACAGCAGGAGCTACCTAGTAAGAATCACAGTTTCTAGAAAGTATATTTAAAAGCAAATCTTTTGGCCTCCCACTCCCTTCTTACCTCCCCCCACCCACTATCTTTTATTCATTTTTTTAACAGATCCCCTGGGAAGTTAGAAGCGTGTTTGCTGGGACAATTTCCCACAAATGTATATGCTTTATAATTCTCTTTATTAAAATCTTTCTTTTTAAGAAACACAAATTGAAACACTTTGCAATCAGTTACACGGATCAGTTAATATTGGTGACAGTTCCTACATAATTAAACAAGTACTAACAAATTCCAACTGTTTACAAGCCAAAACTTAAATTAACAAGATTATATAAGCTCAATAAATAGTACATCTGGTCCAGTTCAAGTATAATTCAACAAATCACAGCCTTAATCCTTAGATAATAGAAAAACCCTGAATATAACCAGCCCAACACTAATTTAGTGTTAAAGCCAATGTGAAACTTTGTCTGATCTTATGGGGCAAATGTTTAATGAGTTTATTTTTTTACATCAAAGAAAGTAAGTTGCAGATTGACATTAAAGACTATTTGAGATCAATGCAGATTTCATAAAGATGAAAAACATAGTCCCTATTCAAAAAGTGCAATCTTTGGTTGAGATGTGTTTAAATTATTTGTATATATTAAGGAAGCTCCTTTTTAAATATCAATATTTGTCTGGCTAGACCTGAGCCTGCTTTGTGCTATATATATATATTTATATGTATAATAAACTGCGTGGATTATAGTGATGAACAATTATGCCAACTAAAAAAAAGTCAAGATTTAAAATATAATAAACCAAAAGAAACAACACATTTTGTACACAACCTGAGAAAGGTAAGCTGCTGCCTACAGTAGCCTTCTTTCTCAGCAGAATAGGTAGAAGAGAGAAGCTGAGGAGCTGAGTGCCTGTCAGCATTGCATGATGGCTTGTTGGAGAGGGAAGGAGATTATCTCTGAGTTCTCAAAGTGCATCAGGCTGAAAACTGATCATGGGGATTATTAGGAGCTAGCTGAGACTTGGCATTGCTTTTAACTGCTTCAAATGGATTTTTAGGGGGAGAAAGGACCTTCTCAGAATGGAATTGCCCAGGATTTTGCAGATTTGCTGTTTTGTCAGGACAGAGCCCAAAGGGATGGGGTGTCCAAACAACCTCAACAAATGTGTGGGTCTGATCACGTCTGTGGGGCTGGGCACTGCACCTGCATCTCTCACCTGAGTCATCTACCTCCAGAAGAGGAAACTGCATAGGGCAGAGATACCATCTGGAGCCTCCTCCTTCTTCAGTGGCAAGCAAGGGCCTATACCCATGACCCCAAAGGGGTATCTGGAGCCAGGACAGTTCCTGGTGAGATTCGGTCAAGAAACCAGCTTTTGCAGCCCTGGGTGGAGATTGAAACTTAAACAACTGGAAACTGAAGGATACCAAGGCCCACTCTCTCAATAAGGGATTTTTTGGTGTGTCCAATGCAACTGGTGGGGGGGGGAGAGGAGGGGGAAAAAGGTATGAAAGCTGTGAATAATAGGAGTGAACCTGGTTCAGAACCAGAGAAGGGGAAAAGTAGCTTGAATCATCTCCCGTAAATTAAAAAATAAGCCTCTGGGTAAACACTCATTTTAATTATTCTTCTGCTGCCAGTCAAAATCTCATGGTTACCTACTTCTCTCCCTGCCTGCCTGTATCCACCTGTTGTCTGTTTTTGGAAAGTCTGATTTAAAGCTCTTTGGCCTGGGAAAGTCTTTGTTGTGGATTTGTGCCGTGCCTATAATAAAGGCAGTGGACCCATAGCTTCTACTGCAATACAAATAAAGAATAATAACAGTGATACTTTTCTCATTTGAGGTTACCTGGGGATAAAGTTGCTGGAGGCATATGACTTTGATATACAGTCAGCTATGTCTCACATCCAATTAAGCTTAACCACATGGTCTAACAAGCTCCCATTAGGCCGGTGAGAGCCCCAGTTTGATAGCAGGTTAGCTTCAAAGATTTGATGCTTGCATTTGTAGTGATTTCCTTCCCTTGTGCTCAGATTGTGCTGAAGGGCATGAAGGGAACTTCATATTCAGATGCTACATGACCAGCTTGAGAGCTGTGCTTTAGAAGGCAATTGCACAATCTTTACTGACATTTTCGTAATCTTACAGCTCGCAGTGCAAGCTCTCACCCTAACAGCCCTGTGCTCAAATTTCACTACAATATGAAAAAACAAACAGTCAAGGAAAAACTCAACCCTTGAAGGAAAAATACTGGGTTTGGTAGATTATTTTTTTTTTCATTGGGAAAACAAAACAAAACAAAAAACCAAAACAGTTGTTCAAAACAATAGATGGACCCAAATCTTAACACACTTCAGGTCTGGACAAAGGAGGATTTAGGCTGTAATGTTTATCATTTCCCCTTGTCTTTTGGATAGGTTACATCTGAATCTGGGATGCAAAGAATCCCTCAACTTGCAAGAAGCAGGAATTCCAAATATGAAACCTGAACCCACCTCTGGTAAAAATGAGGGGAAAGCCCAGTCCACGAAAGGGAGCAGGGCTTCAGAAAACAACACCAGGCACCTCTGAGATACACTGCGTGGCTACAGGGTATTTCAGAGAACAAGCAGGGCTGCTGGCACAAGACATAATGGAACAAATACTTTGGTGAAAGCATTTGGGGCCATTTAGCCACTCTGCAATGTTTTATGGCATCCGTGTGATTCTTAGGGATGGCTAGAACCTCTGGGAAAGCTATTTCCTCTGCACAACATCTAAACAGGACATCAGCACCAGCAATTTTTACAGAACGTACTGTGATACATATTAGAGTCAGGCAAAGAATGGAAACACGTCTGCAAATCCCCATCTGTCTAGATTGCGTAGGGCATTTTATAAAAGCATGACTCTGGGATCAGTTCTGGCAGTGGTTTGCATACGTGTTCACTTTACTACACAAAGCCCTATTGAAATGAACCAGAACCTTGTACAGTGCATTTCAAAGGGACTTTGCAAAACACTAAGCGACAACTGTGCAGAAACAATAGCTCGTAATAATGCCAGAGCTGCTGGTGCATCCTGTGTTCTCAGTGCAGCACTCTGTGAGCTATCAGTTGTTGTATTCACCTTAAAAAATTCAGGGAAATAAAATACAAAAACAATATTAGAAGTCTGGCCTCTCTCCATGAAAACCAGGAAAATTCAACGTTGCCAAGCTGAGGAAAAGCAAGCTTGAAAGAAAACAAAAAGACCCAAAAAGCAAGGATCTTGAATAAAATGTCTAAAAGAGACATGGTCCGAACATGTGGCACTTTAAAGCCTCTCATGAGAGTTTCAAGTCTGTAAGACTCAAAGTTGGCACCCTTTAAAGTTATCAAAAGGAGTTTCAAACACAATGATACCTGGAGAACATCCTGATCACATCACGGAAAATGCTGCAAACCAGAGCAGCTGAGCTGTCAGCACAGGCACTCCAGCTGCTTTCACTGTGCTGGGCTCAGGCAATAAGGTCCCTGGGACAGGCTGTGGCTCCCTCTGCATTCACACAACACAGTCATGGTACAGTTGGTGCTTAACAACACAAACGTTTGATCATTTCACCAAGCTCTAAGACACATGGAGGTGGATCCTGTTGGGGTTTACATTATGCCATCTACTGACTGGTTCTAGCACAGTGACTTTAGATGTCCTATGCAAATCCTACTTCTCACTGGGGCAACGAGTTAAATGGCTGAAGATATTTTAAGCAACATGAAAGCCTATTTATAGTCACATCTCCTTTCCTTCCAGCGTCCACTGGAGGATGCTGAGTGCTTCTAAATACTCCGCCTGACCTGATGTGTCACATCAGAATTAAAACTTTAAGAATCCCTGAGAATTCTGATTTAATCTAGGAAACCACTCCCAGCACACAGAGTGTGAGAAAGAATTGCTCCACTTCTTACAGATATGCCAGCATTGCTTCACCGTGGGAAACAGTTTCAGGCATTTTGGTTATAATGGCACTCTGGGCATAGATGCATGGAACATGCTCTTTATTTCCCCTCCTCTGTACAGTGCAAATTGACAGTTATATCACAGAAATTAAAAAAATAAAGTATCAGCATTCACTCATTATAGTACTTCCAGTTCATCCGCATCATAGTTTTTTCTTGGCAAAGTGAGGAACAATGCCAGTTTCATCCTGAGGCAGGTGGCTGCCTTCTTCCTTCATTTTCAGGCTCTCCTCGGCAAGCTGGGATAGATACTTCTGCAATCACATCAAAAACAAAGCATCACTACCAAGACTGAAAACACTCAACATGGGTTGCTTTATACCTTTTTAAAGCTGTCACACTCTATCAGCATCTCAAAAGGGAAGAAAACACATAGAACCCCACTTCACTTAAAATCCAAGCCAGGAAATGTACTCTGTCAGGAAAACTATCTGGATACACAAAGAGCCTCAGAAGTTCAGTGGTTTACTCTGTGCCACAAGGGGAACTGGTGACAGAATCAGGAGGACCACAATTCCCCATCACTCTGTGCCTCACTCTTCTCCTTGCAAATTCTTTACTCACATATGCTGTAGGGCAGAAACCAACTCCACTGCGTGAACTGGATTATGCTAGTGTAAGACTGGAGTATCAGAAAATAGATGAGTTCCTGAGTCACAATTTAAAGCACATATATTACATTTCCAGCATGTCCAGTTCAGAGATACACCTTTTGCACAAGAACATTTGTTTTAAGGAAATAATCAAACTCAGTAATAATTAACACAATTTAGCAGTCTGTCTAGAGTATTTATATTTATTCTGTTTCTCCAAGATAAAGCCTTTCAGTACTTTAAGTACTAAGTATGATTTAAAAATACAGACATGGTCACTTGTGGCAGTGCTCTTAGTTGGCAGAGCTGCACACAAAATGGATGATGAACTGGTGTGAGTCTGAAAACGGGGCTCAAAGTATTTATTCACAGTCAACAGACCTAAAAATGGTTGGAAAGGAGCTTCTTCAGCAACAGCTAGTGCAGAGACACACATGGGAAATTCCTACATAATAATGTAGAGAAGCTCTTATTCATGACTTACACATAATACCACATGCAAGAATAACTGACCTGCACATTATTAGGATCATAAACCTGTCTCTTCTTGCTGTTACTCATTCTGATTTGTTTTGAAAAGACCATCTCACATTTCTGCACAATTTTATCTACTTGCTGGATTCCCCCAGAGTACAGTTTACTCTTCGGCATTCATGGGCAAGAAATGGATATAAAACAACTAAGGGCCATGTTAGGACTGTCATGTTGCCTCACATAAATACCAGTTTTGGATGCAAGAGGTACATCTGAAAGGAACTCAGTAATGGTAACAGATGGGCATATCTGTGACAAAATGATGACTGTACCCTTTTTACTCTTAATATAGGGATTTGGCTGTGGAAACGACACAACTCGCAGTCTTGATCCCTGGGTACAAAATTCCATATGGCAGAAAGCCAGAGTAAATATTACAGTAGTATACAGAGATATAGGATCCTTAAAGGCTGGGAGAAGTGTTCTGTACACCATGAACCGTAATAAAGCACTAACGTTTGCCATTGGATCTGATAACCCACTTTTTTTTTTTTTAAATTATTAGCTACCAATATAAGACTAAGGTTTATCTACCTCCTTTAGCCGACTTTGTCAGCTATCATGAGTACCACCAATCACCAGTTTTGAAGATCACAAACTACTCAGATCCATTTATAGCAAAATGACAGTCAAGGAAAAAAAAAATTCATTTAAATACAAGTTTTGATGAATACTGCATAGAACCAGAGGAAAACAGGATAAAATGCTTGTTAAATTCCACCAACATAGAAGACTGACATTTCTTGCAGAGGGCATGAATAAGCATCATTGCAACTAAAACAGTTGTAGCAATGCAGAACAATTATTTAAAATAATAATTTAAAATAGGTGATTTTCCACTTGAGTGGGCAAAAGTTGGATGAGACATTTAATTCCTCCATTAAGTAAGGTAAGAGGTATGGCTCAACAGAACAGTCTGTTTCATCACCATATCTGACAGATGTAATTTTAAAAGCTTTTGTGGTCTTTGTTGTTTTATCTCAAGTCAGTGTTAGGCAGTGCTCATGGGAAATGTCTTAAGTTCTTTCACTGACTCAGTTTTAGCTGGACCTTTTTTTCTATGACTACAACAAAATAACTTAGATAATGAAAAAAAAAACACCCTCTTTTTCCCATGGGACCAGTTGACAGGGGCAGGGGCTGGAGCTGCAATCTCTGCTTTAGGATGAGTTTCTTTGGGCCGGACTCACATGGGAAACACAGCCTGTACTTAGTGGTGCCACTGGTGAATCCCTCTGTATTTTTTTTTTGTATGAAGCAAAAAAAGGCATGAAACTGGGGACTTTTTTTCAAGCTGACACTTGGAAGATCCATTATCAGCAAGCACTGCAGCTCTTCAGGCAGAGTCTTTGAAAGCCAGAGGCCCTTGTATGATTACAGCTACGTAACATCAGGGAGATCAAGAAGAAAATTCTCACAGAGAAATCATTTGCTCCTTAATGTCACTGGAAAAGCCAATGCCTACTAGCCAGCTAGAGACAGGTGGTTATTACTTGAAGAGAAGCAGAGCTCCAGCATTCACTACAGGCAGAGGGAAGGAACAGGGAAAGAAGGAGCAGTGTTGCTCTTTCATGCCTTTTGCCAAGAGTGCCAACAATTGCTAATAAAAGTGTCTTCTGCAGCATGCACACTCTGCACACAGGCAGGGGCTCAGGGAGATGAGAGGCAAAGCCACCTCCTCCAAGGAGTCCTCGGCACAGGGTAGTAAATGCTCAGGCTGTCACAACTGTTGCTATCAACTGTGCATCTGAAAAGCAATAGAGGTGGGGTCTTTGGACTGAACTGCAAGCACCTGTGGTCTCCATGGGCTGTTATCAAGTGTTGATATGCTTATCATATATGCTTGTGGGAACCATACAAGTAATTACATGCTTATGCATATCCTTACAGAAATTATTCAATTGTGGTGTTCTATGTGGCTGAGCCACCGTGCTGTTCTGTAGCACAGGGAGGTGATTTCTGAGGGTCACAGAAAGGCCCCGGAGAGCCTGTGCGTCACCGAGCTCTGCGTGTTGAGACGCGCTGCAGAAATTCACACTAATGCAAAAATAAGTCTGGCAACGTTCATAGACTCCTGAAATGAAGGAATAAGGAAGGCTGCTGCTGGGCTCACTCCCAGTGGTACAAATGTCTGGGACCTGCTGTGCTAGTGACAAGGAACACAGATATATAGAGAAAATAAAATTATCACCTGGCCCCAATTTATTTATGATCCAGAAGTTGATTTCGAGAACCTGAGAGTGAGAAATTAGTGTGCTAGCATTTAGAACTACTGAAAGGTTTTGCTTATCTAAATTTTACTTTTTTTGAATTCTGCCCACAGCATAAAAACTAATTTTTTTGTACCATCAGCTTTCTCGTGCACAGTCCACCCCATAAGCTAGTTGTTAGCTGGCTTCAAGTGTGTTTTTACCTGAAGATTTTTGTAATGAACAGTGCTTCTGCAGTGACTTGTCTTTGCTGTTTCTTCATTTGTGTAGAAGAGTCCACAGAGCTTGCAGTAAAACCCAGTTCTAGGCACCACAAATTCGACACCTATTGAGAGATTCAGAATTACATTAAAATGTCAGTTGAAACCCTTCCCCTCCACAATAAACTTGTTTTCAAAGAAAAAAGGTGCTGTTTAGTTAGACGACATAGATATGAGAAGCCTGAATTCACTTCTCTAATTTCCCTAATTTTGCAATATCGAGCTGCAGTTTAAAATCCTGTGCATTGCAAATACACCTTCCACTTCTCTCTCAGACATTACACATATTTTAAAATGTACCTTCTTGCACATAATACTGAGTGGGAACTTCACTGTGTAACCTCAAGGGCTAGAGTAGCAATAGTACTTACTAGCAGTAAATACATGCTTAAGTTACACAGTTTGCTCTTTAGAATGTGCTTCTTCCAGGTGTTTTACTCATGATCAGTGTTTACACCCTAAAACTAATACTTTTACTAAAAGTATAATCAATGCTTTTATGACAAAAGCTTTAAAATGACAAAGTATTTTTCATATATATTTCATAGATCATTCAAGGATCTTATTTCATCTCACCAACATTAACAGCAATATTTTGCCATTCATCTGGAGTGAAATAAGCAATGACCTGTAATTAAAAGCCAGTTTCTTTCAACAGCTGCCCCTCTGTCCTATACCCTGTTCCTCAACTCTCCTCACAACTGTTCTGGAAAATAGCAAGTAGCCTTCAAGTGACATCTTGTTGTAAGCTCTAGGTATTGCAGAGGGTGGCACGGCAGGCCAAGGGCAGCCGGGGCATCCCAACCTACCCAGGGGAATGCTGAGCTCGGTGAAGACATCCTCTTGTTCCCAGCCTGGTGGAGAGTGCCTTCTCTTGGACTCCACCTCCGGGTATTCCAGAGATCTCATTTCCAGGTACCTAGAATTTGCTTAACAAATGAATAAATGTGTTGAAGGAAAACAGTTCATTAGTTTACAGAGACATTTGTAAACTTCTCGGAAACACATTCTGGGTGGATCTATAAATGAAGTAAAAATGCTTTTCCATTCAAACCAGAGGCCTACTCAATTCAACTCCAACAGCTATACTACACTGTGCCATCACCTCTATTTCTCTCAGTAGAGCATTTTTCTATTTCTGACTTAACTTTCACTACATTTCTTCTTTTCATTTTATAACCTCTAAATAGATCTGTAACATTATATGTGCCTCTAGCACAAGTATGGCCCAACTGCAGCTCCATAACCACATATGATATGTGGTGGCATGACCAGTGATGGAGCTGGGGCAACACATGGCTTCTGAGAAAGGGGGGCAAGCAGGACCTGCAGAGAGCAAATCCCCAAACTGCATAAGGAGCTGCATATGCAGAGTAAACCTTCCTCGGGTAGGATCTCTGTAGCACCATTGTCATCTTCTCCCTGGAACTACTCTTCTCCCATCCTCAGCTCTCCAAGGGATGGCTTCTGTTTTAAGGCTCTTGGCCACTTGAAGGTTTTGTTTCCTGACCAGTAGGGATGGGATGATTGGTCCCTGCTGACCAACAATAATGGACACAAGCAGCTGATTCAAGGTGTGAAAAACAGTGGATTGATTTGCTGAGGCAGATAAAGCCAGTCAAAAGAACACTTTCCCAACAAGTGAATTTTTTTTATTTCTAAAAAGGATTTTTGTTTTAATCACAGAGGGACAGAATTACAGATAAACTGGTCTGATTCCTATTACTCAGTTCTTACATCAAAGAACTAGTTCCTTTACCTGACAAAATTTCTATTGCATTGCAAATTTCACCTAGATAGGGGATGTATTTTCTCATAAAGCAAATATATTTTTGCCCAAACCAAACCCTTCCTGTCTTTCAAGTCTGTGGTTCAAAGATCTGCAATTTCTGGCTATGAGAATTATCTTTCTGCATTGTTTTAAATGCATCTATTACATAATTTAAAATAATGTAAAATCCTGACTGCTTGGCTTTCAAATTAACTAAAGACCATCCCAGGCTTCCAAAGCTGCAGCAGAGATCCTGGAAAAGCAGCAAGCTTCAGCTAGCTTTTCTTAAGACACCCAGGGCCTATGTGGCAACTTACATTGATTTCTGGGCTTCTGAGCTGGCAGCTGCATTTGCAGAGAGCTTAGAGCCATGCAGTGCGGATTTCAGATACCAAGCCAATGGCAGAATTCTGGGAAGCACAAGCTCCCCATGGAGCTTTCAGGCTCCCTGCCGGCAAGCTGGAAGCTGAGATGCTGAAAACACCAAAGTAACTATGCTCTTGGGATACCCAACTCTTTAATCAGTTGCCTGTCTGTGAAGTTGGAAGCCCAGGGGAGCCAACCTTGCCATTCCCAGTCCCAAGGAGCCTGCATGACAGTGTAATCTCCAAATAGGCAAAGCCTGGAAAGGTGTCTTCAACCCAAAGAGATAAGTATGAGAAACTGAGTGAGCTTCAAATCTGTCCTAGAGGAAGAATTTAGTTCAAAATCAGATATTCACATTGAATGTTCAAAGATTTCCTGCTGGAAATTGCACCCTCAAAAATGTTTCAAGAACTCCTGTTCACAAACCCTTCTCCATCACACAGACTGATAGCAATAAAAAAGAGCATTCATGGCCAACATGATCCATGTTGTTTTCCACTTCTCCTCATTATACACAGCCTATTCACTCAAGTTTCATTTGAAAGTGTGACAAGGAACTGAACTCCCTTTCAAACACTAAAGATATTTTTTTTTTGTTTTCTGACAGGTAAAGTATTAATAGGTAGCTATGATTACATTTATTGGCATTATCTCACAGCATGTCCTATCAGTTATATTAAAGGCAGCATGTGGTAGATAACAGAAGATGATACAGCAAGTCCTAACAAAAGGCACATATTTGCCTGAACAGAGACTCAGAAGTAACAATCTACATATTGTTACCTACATCTTTGTTGGAGACATGGACAGTGGGATTGAGTGTATCCTCAGCAAAATTGCTGATGATACCAAGCTGTGTGGTGTGGTTGACATCCAAGAGGGAAGGGAGGCCATCCAGAGGAGCCTTCACAGGCTGGAGAGCTGGGCCAGTGCCAACCTCATGAAGTTCAACAAGACCAAGTGCAGGGTCCTGCACCTGGGTCAGCACAACCCCAGGCACAAATAGAAGCTGGGGGAAGACTGGCTGGAGAGCAGCCCTGAGGAGAAGGACTTGGGGGTGGTAGTAAATGAGAAGCTCAACATGAGCCACCAGTGTGTGCTGGAGCCCAGAGAGCAACTGCATCCTGGGTTGCATCAAAAGAAGTGTGGCCAGCAGGGCCAGGGAGGGGATTCTGCCCCTCTGCTCTGGTGAGACCACATCTGCAATACTGTGTACAGTTCTGGTGCTCTCAGCACAGGAAAGATATGGACCTGTTGGAAAGGGTTCAGAGAAGGGTCATCAAGATGATTAAAGGCCTGGAGCACCTCTGCTATGAAGACAGGCTGAGAGAATTGGGGCTATTCAGCCTAGAGTAGAGAAGGCTCTGGGGAGCCCTTATAGCTCCTTCCAGTACTTGAAGGGCCCTACAGGAAAGCTGGGGAGGGGCTTCTCATACAGGAAAGATATGGACCTGTTGGAAAGGGTTCAGAGAAGGGTCATCAAGATGATTAAAGGCCTGGAGCACCTCTGCTATGAAGACAGGCTGAGAGAATTGGGGCTATTCAGCCTAGAGTAGAGAAGGCTCTGGGGAGCCCTTATAGCTCCTTCCAGTACTTGAAGGGCCCTACAGGAAAGCTGGGGAGGGGCTTCTCATCAGAGAAGATAGTGATAGGACAAGGGGTAATGGTTTTCAACTGAGAGAGGGGAGATTTAAGTTAGATACTTGGAAGAAATTCTTCACTATAAGGGTGGTAAGGAACTGGAATGGGTTGCCCAGGGAGGCTGTTGATGCCCCATCCCTGGAGGTTTTTAAGGCCAGGTTGGATGAGGTTTTGTGCAACCTGGTCTAGGGGTAAGATTCCCTGCTCATGGCAGGGAGGTTGGAACCTGGTGAGCTTTAAGGTCTCTTCCAACATTAATGATTCTGTGATTCTATGATTTCCATCTTACTAACACTTCAGTACAGCGTGTAAGAATACCCACCTTGTCCAGGAGCCAGCCAGACATTACAGATAATTTTCTGCTGACCTTCAGAGACTGTCACTCATTTCATTGACAATTCAAAATAAATTTAGCAGGGCACTGAAAGATTTCAGCTAAACTCATATGAACCTTGCCATGACAATTATAGCAGCTTATGCCTTTCAGAAAGCTTGCAAGCTGCTTATCATGTTTCCTTTACACTATTCAGCTAAGAGTCTCTAATGGTTTAGCTTGGCGAAAGGCACTGGGGTTCTTTTACTGAGCTGCTCCAAGGACAAGTCTTGATACTATTAGCAACATTTATTCTTGTTAGCAATAAATTTCAGTCTACTGTCAGAGAATACATGCAAGGTTCTCTGTGGGCTGAAAAGAAAAAAACCCAACACAACAGTAGTTACCCTTGGCCTCCGGACACTCTTGGCTTCCATGTCTTGTTTCTTCACCAGCGTTTTTAATAAGCATTTCCGTAACTTCTTTGCTCTCAACTCCTTGTGATCCCATCTGTTTGTAATCATCTATAAATGCATCAGTGAGCTGAAGAGTCTCTTCTTTCAGATGAACAGAAGGTAGATGGTGATCTTCAGGCTCCAAGTGACTGTCAGAGCTCTTACGCATTTTTTGTTCTTTCTGCTGGGGGTCAGACTCCTTTGCAGATTGGTCTTCTTGCAATTCATCTGACTTCTGCTCAGGGTCCAGATTTAGGCTTGATGCTTCAGTTACAGCGTCATCATTATCAACATCCTCCTCATCATCCTGACAGCCACTAGAAGCTACACTGCTCTTTGCTGATCTCAAGTTTGTTTCTAAAGCTTTATGAGCAAATTTGTCTTCACTCCTCGTTAAGTGTCTCTGATCGTTTTCCAGTTCTAACATGGTTGACACGCAGGGACACATTTCTGAACCTGTTTTATTTTTTTGATCAACTGGTACTATTTCTTCAAGTTCAGTTATATCTGGCTCCATGATTAAATCATCTTCTCCTACTTCATCTACTGTCACTAATTCCTCCATGTTAGCAGGATACCAGGTCTCACCTTCTATCTCACTTCCACTCTCCCAGTCTCGGTCCTGTAACAGAGATGTAAAACATTTGAGAAATCAGTGATTATGGATCAGCACTGTTAAAACATGGGCTTTGAACATTAGTAACCAGGAAAAACTTTAATCTGGCCATGCCTACCCCCCTTGTATCTTAGTTTCGAAGACCAACATGCCTTGGTGTTACAATTTTAAATCTTATGCACAAGGACAACCAATCTCTTTAATTATCACATCAACTTCACTTTGTGGAGATCCTGTATCTGCCTTGGGGATTACAGTTTCTCCATTCGCCTGCTCCTTACTTTTCTAGAAGCGGTGGAACAAGATGCAACCTGTTATACTTAATTATGCAACTGACTTTACTATATGATCCCTGAGGAAATGAACCTCTCTCCTTCCTCTACCTCCATCCCAGGGTGGTGAGAAATAGACAGTGCAATAATATATTGAACTCCAGTTTAGCCACTGTGGCTTTCACTGAGTATGTGTGGCTACATTCTGTAGTGATTTCCTTCCACTAGTGAGAGTTCTCTGCCAGGGACTCTTGGTAGACATTGGCCTAGACCTTAGGAAAAATTGGTTTATAAGTTATACTACAAGGTACAGAATCTGCTATACCTCATACTTGCATTTATAGATTTACAGGACTCAGACACAAATACTGGACTTCAGAAGTATTAGAATTATAAGGTATATGCCACTTTTAAAACACACTTGCAGCTTAGATTTCAACTCCCAGACACATCACATACACATAATCTATTAATAATCTGTATTCTCCTCCTGTTTGGCCATTCCCACACTTCCCCTCCTAGAATCTTAAACCAGCATGAAAACTCTGGGAGTTGACACTGCTCTTGCCAGGAGATCAGTTTTCTACAGCAACAGATATCAATAGCTTCCATATCTGACCATCAACCCATGACCCTACAGATATGAAGCTGGAGGAATTCCAAGGACATTGCTGTCCCCAACAGCGATGCTGCAGTAAGGGTGCTGTAAAGACATCATTTAATTAAAACCAGAAACAGTCAGAAGCAGCTACTATCCATAGTCCACCTAAGGACAATTTCCTGAAAAGTCTTCATCATTAGTCTTCTCCTTCTCCACTGACTGACCACATCTCCTATTTTTGGGCATGGTTCACAGAGTTACACAGTTCAGTTGGGCGTACATTACTTACAGTTGCCAGTGCCAAGGACTATGCGTGTGAAGAAATGTACATGGGCAAAGAGCAACTAATAAAAGAGTTCTGGAGACTTGAGGAAAAGTTAGCTCTTAAAGCAGAGGTCAAGATAAGGCAAGTTAATTAGATAGCCCCCTTTTATAACTCCTTTACCAGCTCTTCCAGGGAGGTGAAATATTTCAGTTGAAAGAATGTGCTACCAAACCTGGGTTTTCACTCATTGTGTCATGGAAGCTGCACCAACAACGTCACCAACCTTCTCTTTTCTTGTGTTTTCCAGAATGTCTCCGGATTCTTTTCCTTGTTTATTAGCTGAAGGTGAGCTCGTCTCTGGAACTTGCTCCTCTTTTCCAAACTAAAATAAATACAACATATACACGTATGGCAACACATAGTGGTACTCTATTATGTTTCTATTCTGGGTTTAGGGAAGCAAAGTCACCACAAGGTCACATTCTTTATTTCTAAAGTTTATGCAAGTCAGCTGGGCTGTGAGAAAAGACTCAAGCATTGGATTCTATTAGCAAGGCTGCACAAATGAGAATTAAGAAACAAATATAAACAAAATAAGAGAGAAGTAATTTACTTCATAGAATTGACTAGAAGACAGGTAGGGGAGAATATGAATAAATTAATATTTCTCTACCCACATCTGTTATGTTGGCTCAGACATTGTAAGGAGAGCAGCAGTGTTAAAACTACAAAAGAACTGGACTGTTTTGTTTATTGATGTAGGATCAGTCAAGAATGCAACTTCTTACACAGTCAGAAAGAACAAAACCACAGTACTACCAGGTACTTCATAAAAGAGGTGCAAAAGAAAAGTGTGAGGTCATGACATTCAAACCTATTTCTTCCTTTTAAAATAAGTTATTAGCAGTTTTCCCTGGATAAGTCTGCCTTTAACAAAACCACTTTAAAATAACTTGAAAAACATGCAGAAGAATGTGCAACACTGGTGACTTATGATGCTGTCTGACATTTCTCTCTGACTTCTCCCAAGGAACCATCCATCACAGTGAAATACCAGCCAAAGGAGAAGGATGACAAAAGGTGGTACAGACACAAATCTATGGCATGAGGCAGTGCTGCTGCTGCTGCCTGTTACAGAAACTAGCTGAGTTACAAGATCTATAGATTTGCACCAACACTGCCTCCCCTGTGAGAAGAACAAATGCAAGGTCAACTAAAAACAACCGAGATGGCCCTGACATCACAAAGTCACAAGCTAGAGATGGGCCCCTGGTCAGCAAAGCAGCTCTGCAGACTCCTGTGCCAGCATCCCCAGGGGTGGATGGTGGCAGTGTATCACCAGGGGGAACTGGGGGAGGCAAGGTGGCCCAGAGCCAGTAACAAGATCCCCATAGTGTGGGGACATGAGAATGGACTGTACTGGGACTGAGCGAATGAGGCATCATCATCTGTTCCCTCTTCACTGTTTCCCAGTGGAGAATCAAACCCACAAACATGCTTCTTTACCAACTAGGAGTATTTCTCCAGAGATCCCATAATTTTACATTAGTTGATTCAGTGGTTCTGCCACAGGAAGAAATTGATTCCTGACAGCACATTGAAGGGGGTGGTGTAAATTATCTCTGCCATAGCTGAAGGTAGGGACTTATGCTTAATGGAGACCAATTGCTCTGCTGAGTGGACCAAAAAGAAGATGTTCCTCATTATAAGTTCACTCCCCATTTTAGCATTGTAACAACCAGTTCCCTGTATCTTCCTACAAATATTGTGCATCTGTGCAGGAGGTGATGGATGCAGAGAAAGTAGCTATGAGGCATTGTGCACAGGTAATGTAAGCAGTAGGGCAATTAAGTCTCCACACACAACCTGCATGCAAGCAGCAGATTGTCACTTGGTTTTGTTGTGAGATGTCTGTCCCCTTTCCCTCACTGGTTTACTTGAAGGTTCTGTACTTGACCAAGAAAGACAATGGCCATGTACCCAACCCTGCAACAGTGTAATAGACCTGCACGGTCTGGGCAAAGGCATGGACAAGATGACCTCCCAAGATCTCTTCAAGGACTATATTTCCTGATTTTACTGTGGCAAAAAAAAAAATTGTATTTCAGCAGCACCACACCCATAACAAGTGACCTGAAAGATTTCAGAAAATATATTACTTTAGCATTTATCTTCTTATATATAGTTTGAGATCTTTATTTACCTCATTCGTGGGAAGTTTTGTTTCCTTCACATCACTGCCTTCAGCAGTGGCATCTTTCTCATGGTCTTTTTCAGCTTTCTTCACCTTATTCTTGTCACTTTGTTTTTGCTTGGAGCTCTCAGACCCTTTGCTGTGCTTCTGTTCAGCTGCCTCCTCCCTGGCAGCATCCTCACTGTAAGAATGCCTGCGTTCCCTTAACTTTGCCTCCTCCTTTCTCTTAGATCTCCCAGGTAAATCCTGCAGCTGCCTCTGAAACTTGTCAGATTTTGACTTTGAGGTTTTCCGGTAATAGTCATCTTCCCTGCTTTTGTAGCCTGATAAAGGGTGAAGAGAGCCAGGGGAACCACTCCTTAAATATTTTTCTCTGTGCCCTCTGCCTCCTTCAATCCGTTCATCCAAATCGAACTTGTCCAGCTGTCGGGAATAATGTTTCCTCTCGTGTACCCACATGTCAGTCCTGTCCCTCTTCTCATCCCCATTCTCTCGCCATTCCCTGCTGTCTCTTTCCTCTTCCCGTCGAGAATATGGGGACTGATCCCATGACTCTCTCCCATTTCCCCAGTCAGTCCTGCCCGTCCCCATCGGGCTGTGGGGTGAACTGCAGGAAGTGAAGCTGGGAGTGTGAGATCGGGGCGACAGGGAGCGGCTTATGGGGCTGCGAGAGCGGGGCCTCTCCGTGCCGTACCTGCTGCAGAAGGAAAAGGCAGCTGTAACTGGCTGACCCACTATGGCCCACCAAGTTCTTGTTCACTGGAAGCACACCGGGCGTGCCCTGGTGTCTGTGAGCCTGAGGCCTTTCACAGGCATGCACTGCACAGCTGCGAACACCGTGAACAGGAGAGAAGGCAGTATCATATTCACAGGGTTTAATGAAATCCTCACAGATCTGTCAAGGGTATATTCTTTCATTTCTAAAAGTCTCTCTCAGAGGTTTAGCGTTAAAAGCTTTGAGTATATTAATACCTTTACAATGACCCTAATGTCTGTACCCTTAATACTTACTCACCTAGGGCATCTCTGAGACAAAAGTGACAAAGGTCATCTGTTTAAGAGAGACCTTTTAGGACTGTGGTTCCTCTCCATGTTTGCTGGAAGGTCCAGAAGTCAGGCAGATCAGAAACATACCCAAATACATTTTAATCTGAACCATCTCCTTCCAGCCAGGTTTTACAGCATCCCCAGCCATTATGCTTTTCACTCAAGGGGAAGCAGAGTGGAACAGCTTCATTTGTGTGTTCTTCACATGCCAGGCGTATTTTCTGAGTCATCATCATCAGTAGGAGAGTTCATTTCTTTTCATAACATGCACAATTTCCATCTGATCTCATTACATAGACCCTGTACCAACTATTGTACCCACTTATATTTTTAGAGGCATTTGAAGTGAAATCCATTTTAAGGAAGCAAATTAGGTAAGAGAGGGAAGCACATAGATAATACGTTTTCTACATGTAGGTTTACAAACTTATCCAGGTCCCAGTTCCAAACTATGGAGAAAATTTACCTGTCCACTTCACGTAGCAGGTCCCTCTCCCTCTGCGAGTGGATATCCTGGATGATAGCAGCCACGTTCTTACCTGGTTTCTAAATGAGACAAAGACACTGCTCAGCCTGCTGCACTATTCTCCAAGCTAATATAGGTGATTTGTCTCTCAAGAAACAGCATCCATGTGTCATTTAATTATACTTTTAGTGAAAAATATTTGGTTTTGGTGTTGTGGTTAGTCTTTTCTGCAGCTGGTATCTCAATAACACCTTCAAAGCAGAAAAATAATACAAATGGAAAATCTGCTCCATTACGTTGTGGCACTGTCTCCTCATACCTGGCTGCTGCAAGAGGCATTGAAAACTAGCTTGTCCTTCCCTGGTACACATTCACCACAGAGTATGTTTTAGAAATTGGAGGTAAGAGGAAACAAACCAGATATTTTCTATAATATCTGAATCCAACAAGTATGGCAGCCTCTCTCTGACCCTTGAGATTCAAGATCACTTACAAAAGATGCACTGCTTCAGGCTGGAGTGCATGCAATTCATCAAACACTTGGAGCATGCACAGCTGAGCAACATAATCATGCAGGAGCTCAGAGCAGTTTGTAGTGGTAAATAGTTCGTGCATATTCCCCCTATGATGTTGCACTTTTGTTTGTGTGTTTGTTTTTAACAAAAAGAAAGGGCTGTTTCTTGTGCAGAGAAGAAAAATTTCATTACCTGAAAAACTGCCTTTGGAAAGGCTGAAAAATATTCCTGAAGTCTAGGCAAACTCCCACACTCTCTTGGGTAATTCCTATTCTGCCTCTATGTTAAGATGGACAGTCTGCCATCTTACATCTGGACCCCTTCACCCTGCCCTGGTTTACAGACTTTTGGCAACTCCTTTAAGTCTCCTTATACTATTATACATGTACAGGAAAGAGAATTTTCCAAAGGTGAAAACGTCTGAGTTACTTGTTTTTCCTCAAGGCTCATAAAATCCTCCTTAACCTCTTAACTTGGAACGTTACAGAATTACGTTATAAAATAACTTTGTACCATGTTAGACAATATAATATGAAGAGTTTCAACTCTGTATTGCCAGTTCCAGTTCAAGTCTCCACGAAAAAACAAACTCTCTAAGGATTGCATATGGCAGTACATAAGCTTCCATAAATATTCTTACAAAAGCACTGATTTTTGGACATTACTCAGGTGTTTACATCAGAAGCACCACACACTCTACAGAAAGTCCAAAGACGATTGTGCTGTTTTGACTTCATGTAAATGATAAAAAAAAATAAAAAATCTTGCTTTTTAATTCAGGTCTTTCACAAGAAAGAAAGTAAAAGAAATCAGTGTGATGTTTAGCCCTGCCACAACTGCTTGGTATAGAGATGACACTATGGCTCAAGCAAGCAAGAAGTGAAAAGCATTGTTTCAGGCTTCGTGCCTGACTAAAAGGAAAGGGCCATCTTACATCTGCTGACATGTTGTATCTTACACATGGCTGCATTTTAGACCTTTGTTAGACCAAGCAGTGTGGGGAGCCCACTCAGAAGAAAGCTCAGAAGGTACTTCTGAAATAATAGTATGAGAGGACCAGAGAAAATGGGGTCTCTTCCAAGAGTTGAAATTTAGAAAAGAACAAGCAGTGAGGTATAAAATATCATTAACATACATTCATTAATTTATCTTTCTTAATTTCTTTTTCCATAGTATTAAAGCATTAATTAGAAATCAGCAAAGATTTTTGGATGTATTCTCTAGCACATGCCATGGAAACTCAGGAAATCTGCTCAGAAATGACTCACCTTCAGCTGTAATTCCTTGTATCTTTTAGACATCCTAATAAGTAACTTGTCATCATTTATCATAGCAGGTTTTTCTTTGTAGTACTGCACCATGGCTTGCGCTGCTTCACTGTAAGCCATTTCCAGAAAGGCCTAGCACAAATGGGAAGAGCTTTAAAATCTACTGCATAATTTAAAATACAAAGTATAAGAGAGAAAAGGCAGCAAAATAACTTTCTTCTGGATTCTTCTAATGCAAAACGTTTCAACAGAACAGCACTGAGTAGCTTTCCTGCCCTGGAGTTGAAATAGTAACACTCAGTCCTTTGCACAGCCTCCTTTTAACTGCAAAGAACGGTTTCAACCCACTCTTAAAGCTTATATGCAGCTTTACAAGCCAATTTAGCTAAATTATTGCAATCTAATCTTTCTTGATTTGTGGAAGTATCACCTTTCCCTCACTTCCTCACTGGTGTTTGTGCATCATGGTCAACTGCTGACAGGATGCAGAGCTGCAATGATGCAGTGTGCACTGCTCCTGAGGTTGTCAGCTGGGTTTTGCAGAACCAGGTCAGAGCAGAAAATCAGAGCACAGGCAGCCAAAACAAAGCCAAAACAGAGTTTAAAAAATCTGAACTGCATTCATTAGCACTTTTAGCTACATTAGAATTGTATGCGTTGTGATTGCAGTTTAACTGGTCAAGGAATCTACTCAGAGCTGTGCATTTTGAAACATTACAATCTCAACCATTGCCCACTGGTGTGGATTTTACATCCATCTGTTCTGTCTGCTACAGGTACATGAGAAGACATTTTATAATCTTTCCTGCCTACCACCACTGGTAGACTTAAGCTACTTAAACTACCTTGAAGACAGAGCTCTACTACAATTTGGTGCAGAATAAAAGAGAGTGAGGTGCCAGTGCCCTCTGTAAGAGCACAGCCTTCCTGCAGCTTGTGTGTGCCAGATCACCCAGCACAGCCACAGCCTGGGGGCTCTGCTGCCAGCCTGTGCGTTTTTATGCCAGCAACTTGATCAGCAAAAACCGACTTATTTTTTTCACTTTAAGACCAGATTTAATATATTTATGTTTCTATTACTAATAATAATAATAATAATAATAATAATAATATATATATATATATATATTCTCCCCAAAGACTCTGTCTTCCTGTCAGTGTGTCTTTATGTCAATAGACATTAACACCAGTGACCCCAAACTCACAGTACCTGATTAGTGGATTTCATGAGGATATAGTTGGTGACCTTCCCAAATGGGAGACCCAGGTTAATGACATCATTCTCTGTGCAGCTTCCCTCGGGGAGGTTGCAGATGTGTACAACTCGACCCAGTGTAGATTTCCTCTGGGGAAACTGGGGAAAGAAAACAACTCAAAACAATGTTTTTATCTTAGATACTCCATCCACTAGACAAGACCTTACATTTCTGCAAAAAATTAAACCTACTGTTTAGCATACCTGTTCCTATCTATAAATATCTTCTTTAAAACCTTGTATTTTAATATCCTGGTTTAGAAATACAAATGGGAAGGGTAATGTTTAGCTGCAGTGAAACTTGCAATGGAATCTCCATCCCTGGATACTACCAAGACCAGAGAGGATTTCTAGAAGAGATGCTCTCATTCAAACAGGATTAATGATGTTCCTGCAAAAGCTAATTTGCCACTTCAAACCTAATGGACTCCAGGGCTTCACAGTCCTGGTAGGTCAGAGTAGATGGCTGGCTTGCCACAGGTACAGGCCAGGGGTAAAAGTGACCAGTGCCAGACTGGGCCAGTGGCAAAAGTGACCCTGGTTAACTTGTGAGAGGACACACAGTGTCCATTCAAGGGAAGATGCAAATCACGTAATCTTGTAGGATCAAGTTCACCAGAGCCATCACAAATGTTTGGCTTGTCAGCAAGTTCACAAGTTACAGAGCTAATGTTATCTTATTTACACCTTTGTCTACACCCTCCCTTTAGGCTTCATGACTTAACCATTTGTCTATTTTTGCTGCAGCAAGACCCCACAGTGGTCTGCTGTTCAGCTTGCATCTTACAGAACCTGCCCAGCTGCAGAAGGCAAGTTAAAGAACGGTCAAAGTCCAAAAGTAAGATATTTTCTCTAGCAGAAAAATAACAAAGACCTGATCCTGAAAAACTCGACAGCACCTGGACAGAAAAGGAAGTGATGCCTGCACCTGGCAGGGCAGCATGTAGTGCACAACAGAAGAATACAACTACAGTTAGCAGAGGAACAGGAAACTTCCCTGACAGCCAATGCACTGCTAGTGTAGAATCACCCCAGATCACCCGGCACCTCTGTTTTGATAGATCTGTTAGGAGATGGTATTTTAAGGGTCTATGGGACTTGAAAGCCTTAGCTGTTCCCTATGTAGGCTCCAGAGCCCGTGTTCAGACACGTGCTCAGCAGTACATTAAATCAAACAACTGTAAGATGTTGCCACCTCCCCACAATTGGCAATGGCTTAAATTAAAATGCTACGCCATAAATCTGCTGTAATTTGTGATTAAGAAGTAGTCACATACTCATACCAGAAGTTGATGGGCTGTACTAAGCAATAATGTTGTCAGCTGATTGAAGTTAAATTGGATCCATTCATTAAGCAGAGCTGTAAATCACAGCCAGAAAAGGAGTATACACCTTCTATATCCACTGTCAGAAAATCAGAAGAGCTCTTTTGTGTCAAATGTTGAATGTAATTTTCAATAAGACTCTAAGTTAACTTTCTTTGCAACCAATGCCCACAGGGGTTTACCCATGCAGTTTGACATCTACCACAAAAATAATTTGATGCACAGCAGTGAAATGCACCTTACAACATTTGCCATATTATTTCACCAATCCAATGTGACTTTTTTTTTTATTGCAGCTTTTTTTTTTTCCATTTTTTTTTCTTGCTTTTCAAATTCTTTATCCTGTTCTTGAGCGTCACATGAATCTTTTCGAAAGATAAGAAGAAACTGACAGTCTCATCCCTACAGTGCTAGTGGCTCTCCATGCCTGAGTGAAGACTTGTAGCACTGTATTTGCCTTTTGAAGAGGGATAAAGTTATTTTCAGATGAATAGCACAGAGCAAGCTCTTCCAGAAATCTGAACACTTTGTTTACAATTACATGCAGGGTCAAGTATAATCTCCCACTGCTCAAATAAATGGCAGCAGCTTAGCTGAAAGTGAATACTGCCACACCAAAGTGTAATAAATTATAAGCCACCTGGGTTGTGGGGTGAATGACAGCTGGCAAACTCAGTCTTAACGCCTCTGACATCCCTGTCCACCCAATGAGTTTCTGAAGAAAAAGAGGATTTATAGTGTTCTGGAACACCAAAGCTACTGTTTCTTTTATCCCTCATAGTACTGCAGGTCATTCAGAAAAAAAAGGGCTTCTGCAGGCAGCTTAAATGATAAATAGTGACAGATTCTAAGGAGAAATGATACTGGCATTAGCAGTAATTTCATTTGTTCTGAGGTTGACAGACATGATGAAAAGAAACATTCCTCCACACCCGCTGCTACTCCACCTCTGACCTTGGAGGCAGCCGTCATGAGCAGCACTGCTCTTTGCTCTCCTACACACACAGTGTCTGTGACAGGCAGAAGCTAAAACTCCTTCAAATAACCTTTGTCACAGCAAAACCACAAAGCAGAAAATTGGTTGGATTAAACAAATCTGGGTGGTGCTTCTGCAAGCAATGCCTGATGCAAACTGCAGTGGCACAGGGACACAACTCAGCCTGGTTTTCCAGACAACATCAGAATATGTACACAAAAGTTAACAAGGTGAAAACTTGAACCCCTGGATTACTGCTGCTATTCCATGAACGCCCTAACACAAGTTCTCAATGCCTCAAGCTTTAATTGTAGCTTTCTGATACATATTGAGCTTCATGTAAATCCTAACAACTTTGTGTTTCCATTATATATATATATATATATAAAATTTGCTTTAATCTGCCTTTTTTCCTGGTTTTCCTTTTAAAATGCATATATAAAAAGAATACACTAAAATAAACTAAGAAAAAGCTAGTCCAGTATAATGAATTGATCTGGGACCCCCAAGTAAGTAATGGTTAGAAAAGCTGCAGGCACTATCTTTGCCACTCTTGCTTCCTGGGAGAAGGACCTCAGCATAGAAGGGCAGAGAGCAATTGCTACAAATAAATAACTGGAGAGATGGCAGGCTGCTTGCTGGGATCAATACGTCATTTAAGTAAAAAGTAATAAAAAAATCCATTTCAAGCTGAAGCTGACCTTCCTGTGTTTAAAAGATTCAGAAAATGGAGGGAAAAAGTCAATGGGATACAAGCAAAGTGATTTACCCTCCTCCACAAACCTCTCTAAGAAGCAACCAATTTTAGCACTGGAAAAAAAACCCCCAACAAACAAACTACAATCAGGTTTTGATTTGGCCAAAATCAAAAGCATAGACAAGGGAAGTTGAAATAACAGACTGAATATTCAGATTATTGTCTAAAAGGAATCCTTCATGAGTTTAATTCTGGCAAGTGGAAGCGGCTTCTGCAAGAATCTCAACATAGAGATCAGTTTGCTTAGTTACTCACTCTTACCCCTGATGAAGGAGAAGAAAATGTAGGACCCGTCTGGCCAAAGGATCTTGCTGATGATGAGATAAAAGATGAGCCAACATTTGGTGGATAATCTAAATAATGGATTACACACATTTCATTAAAATCTTGACTCATTAATTGCATTCGTGTGCTTGGTAAGCAATGTCCCATTTACATAAAAATTAATTTCATAGTCTCTACACCAAATTATGCACTATTTAGTTGTACTGTGAAAACAAATCATTGCCTGAAAGAAACAAATTCATACTTCGAAAGGCACAGTATTGGCTTTTGTGCACAATCTCTGAAAAGTGTTCCTTGGAAACTTGTATCACATTTCATTTAAAATGTCTACTTTTCCCCAGAGACTGACTTCCCTTTCAATTAGAAGAAAAAAAAAAAAAAAAAAAAAGGTGTTTTAAACTATTGCATATACAACGATTCACCTTCAATATTAGTTGTATTGAAAACTGCTGCATTATTTGGTGATAAATGCAATGTTCCATCTGCTGAGCTTAACACACACCGGATACCAGTGCTGGAAAAGAAAGAAAAGAACTTTAGGAGCATGCATAACATGCCATAAATATTAAAGCATAATTATTAGACATTATATTCCTGGTGTAAAGCCACTGAAGCAAGGGATGCTCTGTTAGAAATTCAGTTGGAAGAGTTTCGCTAAAATAATACTTACTTATCTGAAAAAGCCATACATTTTTGGATGTGAAGACTTCCCTTAATGTGCTGATCCCAGTCCTACGTTGAAACAAAGAGATGATGAGCATAGGAGAAATCCTGAGACAAGTTTACAAGAGATTGCTTCTCCACTCAGTTGTTCTTATTCTAAAAAACAATACTGAGATGCTGAAGATGAAATTGTGTGATGCTGGAGCCACACACACCTTCTTCCAATGCATTTACTGATTTGTTATTTGAACATTACATTAGCCATTACTTTACAAAAGGGGAGCTTCTCTGTCTTAGTTTTTACATCCAGCACATTTCTATTAATCCAATTATTTCACTCTAGCTGAAGAACTCATCCTGCAAGGCCCTGAGCACACTCAGCTCCTGCAATCTCCATAACAAGGTGCTCAATGCACAGGGCAGCCAGGACAGCTCTTACTGTATTTCAGTAGATTGGCAAAATTTCTCAAAGTACATCTAGCTATTTACAGTTTTATGATCCAAATGAGACAGTGGACCAACAAAACAACAAAAAAACTCACCATAATGACATTTTTCCTGCTCTTCTAAAATGCTTAATGCAAAAGAAAGAGTGCTCAGCATGCCCTAGACCAGTCCTGTAGCTGCAGCAAACACACAGCAAACCCTTTTGCAAACAGCTGCTGAAGGAGCAAATATATTAAAATATCTCAAAACTCCCCGGGTGTGTAGGTATTGGGCACTGTTTCATTGGCTGGTCATCCTCCTTCCTATATAAATGGTGTTGCAACATTTTTGTCAGGCTACCATCAGTGTGAAAACAGATGCCTTTGCAGTTCGGTGCCAATCCTGCGATGTGATGGAAAAAGCTGTGAGGACTTGTTGAGCAGGGCTCACCAGGAGGCCAGAACAACGCCAGCCAGTGCCCATGTATGGCTGCAGGGCTCAAAGGCTTCTCCAGACCTGGCCTGTATAACATGATCTAGCACACAGGCTCTCTGGGCAAGCAGGAAGCTTCTTCTTTAGGGTGAGGTTGAATTTGGAGTTCCCTTGGCAGTATGAGCAGAGAAGTGGGAGTGTGGTCTGCACTGCACGTGCTGAGGAGCTTCTTGCTTCCAGGTCAGAGTTGCTGGGGGCCCCAAGTCCTAAACTTTCCTTAGAACTACTAGAAGGAGGAAAAGATCCCAACACAGGAATTACTAAAATAATTCTATCAAAATGCACCGTTTCATTTAAGCAGCCAGCTTCCAAAAGGCTGTTGGGGGAGGCCTTTGGGATCAGAAGTGTAAAGGGAAAGGGAAAAGCAGATGAAACTGCAAGCATGAAGTTACAACACCAGACTGAGAAGCAGGAGATCGGCTTCAAGCTCCTCCTCCCCGAGCTTTGGGCCCACGAGATGAGCCACGACCCCAGCCTGGACCTCGCATTTCTCACGCTGGTGCCATAACCTCAGGGCCTTTCACAGTGAGATGTGAAGCAAAACCAGATCTCGAAACCCCGGTAATTGCCATGAAACAGATGTACAACACCCTTAGCGAAACTATGGCCCTTTGTTCCCAGCCCTCTCAGGACGAAGGACGCTGGTGGCGAGGGCTGACAGCAGCCTGTGGGGCTGCCCCGGGGGCACCTTAACACCACTCACCTTCAGATCGAAGACCTTCTTGTCGCACAGGGCGCAGAGGTGCGGGAAGCGCGGCGGGGCCGCGCCGCGCGGCTGGTGCGGCTGGAGGGCGCGGGCAGGCGGGTCCCGCTCCTCCGGCTGCCTCATGCG